AAAAAAGAAACCCCTTTAAAAAGAAACAAACTTCTATTTCACTTTTTAAGGATATATATCACCAAGACTGAGTTAAACCAAACGCTTTTGTTTCTGATAAGCTGGTTTCTGGATAGTGTGATCTACTGGAACCATGTCTCTTTGGAAATCCCACATAGTAATCTTGGCTCCAACATCCAATTCGCCATTGCTAACTAAAAATCAGCACTTGCCTTCTGCCTCCACAAGGATTGGAACACATTGGCACTTGCCATCTAACTCTGCGTGGATTAAATCATGAGCTGCTGCAGCCACTGACCTCCAGCATGTCCTGAAAGGAGTTCAGGAGGGAGGTCAGGAATGAGGCGCTCTGTGCTGTGGGAAAACTGGCTGAACAGGCCTTCAGACAGTTAGATAATTTCAGGAGAAGATTTTATGAGCCCAGATTCTTGTGTCTCCTCCTATCTAGAAAAACACTAAATTCATCAACGGTGACAACTGCTACTCACGACTGGCAGCAAGCCTCTGCCTAGGTGTGTGCTTGACTGCACATACAACCCCCTTCACTGAAATCACATGTAATACTGAGTTCTCCCCTGCCTCCTTGCAACAGTTTCTCAGAGCTTTCTGGGATGCTGTCTCCTGGGCTATAGTCCTCATTTTGCCCCAAATAAAACTTAACCCACAACTTTCACGTTGTGTCATTTTATTTCAGTCGAAACCATCAATTTCCTCGGCTACCCCTTGCCCCATATGAGATGCAGGCAGACGATTAACTTCTCCAAAATGCATGCCCTCAACTGTTTCAAAGTGCTTATTTAAGCAGTTACCGTGGTGTAAATTTGAAACGGAAAAGTAGGTTACAAACATTTCCTTGGGGGAAGGAGAGGACTTAACATGAAAAATCAGCATGCTCACAAGTTTCTCAAAATACAGGTCAGTGATCATAGCTGTAACTAATTCTTTGGTAAATTCAGACTGCCTTATAAGAAGATACATTTTTTTCTCTGTCAACTTTGGAAACAACTACAAAATAAAATTTTATTTTACTGGTAAAAAAGATACATTTTTAATATTTCTGGTTTTTTTTCAAGCTACCTTGACTTTTATTGTCTCTATGGCCACGGAGCTGTTGTCTGGTTGCTATAGTGTTTCCATAGACTAAAAAGTCAGATGCATTCAGCTGTGACTGATTTTTAAATAGGTGTAATCACTCCCGTCAGAGAAAGCGGTGCATATGCCTCTCAGGACCCCATGAATCAAAAGAAAACACATTTCCACCGAATCTTGATCAGATTCTTCCAACGGCAAACGGCTTTCCAGAGAGTGTATGAGGAACTACCTTGGCACATGAAGATGAGCGGCTGCTGGGAGGATCTGTGCAGCTTTCTCTCAAGTCCTAGGTCAGTCTCATCGTTTTTACATCGTGTTGGCAGATTTTGCTTTTCCTTTTGCTGAGCGCTGCATTTAGGTACCCATGGTTCCCTTGAACAAGACACATCCATTCAGTTCATTCATTTGGATGGGGACCATCATTTGGCATCGGCTTCGATGGCCAATGGATCCCCAGGTAGCTCCATTGGATCATCTGGCTCTGCAGAGTGTTCTTTTCCTTTCCTGACTCCCCACAGAGTCCTCTCAAAGTCAAGAGGCCTTCTGGAGAGAGGAGAACTTGCATTTGCGCGGGGATACAGGAGTGGCCATGTTCTCCTAGTAGAGACTCCTGCCTCCTTCCCTTTTTCCTTTTCTTCTCCCCCTCCTCTCTCCCTGCCCTTCCTTCCCCCTCCGTCTTGTCTCTTGTGCATGCATTCAGAAAAACATCTCTTCTTGACCTGCTCTGTCTCCTGCCCCGTTCTGGGCCCTGGGGATGCAGGAGTGAATGAGGTATGGCCCCAAGCCTTAGGTGTCTGCCATCTAGTGGGGAATGGTGGAGCCAGAGTTGTTATCCACGGTGGTAAATGCTGCACTAGAGCAACGACACAGACCTAGCTCAGATCGGAAGAGGGAGGAGCTTGCAGATTCAGGGAGGCTGCCCGGAGGAGGGGCCTCTGGGACAGAGGAGTGGCATGGGCTTCCACTGCTGAAGAGTGACAGGCTCGTATTTATTTGACGACCTTCTAAAGTCATGTTAGCGAAGAAGAAGTTTATGAAGAGGCTAATGGGATGTGGTAAACAGAATAGCTATTGTCAAGGCATAAATTGCTAAAATGACCACCATCAATACATTGTGGTACAAGTAACACAGACTTTATATCAAAGACCCAAAGCCTGAGCTTCTGGGTGAGGCTGTGCCTCATCCACTACTGGAATGTCTTATCAGAGGCTGGATATGATGCTGTGGGGCCTATCTGCTCACAGTGGCCAAGATCAAAGACAGAAGATGAGGAGGAGATGCACACTCTCAGGAACTGTGAGTCGTGACGTTCCCGCCGTCCATTTTGCTGGATATAGAGTGGCCAGGTGTTGCTGTTCTCTTTCCACACGTCATCTGGTCGATCCAGCAACCCTTGCTGCTGCGTCTTCCTCCCCATAACTGGAACCAATGATTTCTGAAGACAGGCAATGTCACTGGTAAATTTGAGATGACCCCTCTTTGTTGTCTTCCCCAAGGCCAAGTACTCGTCACCTGTGCAATAAGAAGATGTCTTAGATTCATCAGAACAAGGCTTAGTTATAGCAGGAATCCCACGTAATGGCCACAGAAGGCATTGCAGCGGCCTGGCTGGCTGGGTGGGTCTCCTCAAACATTTCTTTTTCTGCCACGGTTTTACAGCCTCACGTAGCCCTGCGCCAGTCTGGGTGCTGCTGAAGGAAAGTCCCTTGACTGGAATAGTCTTTCAGAGAGTTCTTCCAGAAATCCTGTTTTATGGTCTGTGCTCTCAGGAGAGCTGCCCTCTTCACTAAGAGGTCTGGGCAAATGCCGCCACTCCTCTGAGTCAATTCAGCAGAATTTACTGAGTGCCTGCGTTGTACCAGGCATGGTGCTGGATGCCAAGGATAGAGCGATGGGTAGGACAAATGTGGTTCCTGCCTGCGTGGAGCGTATGGTGGGTTGTAAAAGATAAGCAGCTGTGTTGCCGTTCGGCTGAGAGGAGTGGTACACGGGGTGGCACAGAGCCTGGATCGGGGAGGTGTGGCCTGGTCTCGGGAACCGTGGGCATCACCCGTAGTAATGACATTTCATCTGAGACTTGGAGGATGAGTGAGAGCTAATCAGATGAAGGGCAGACGGAGCAGCGTGGTTGGAGAGCCACAGTTGAGAGGGAGAGTGGTAAGTCCAAAGGACTGAGAAAGGCCAGTATGGGCACAGGAGAGGGTGGGCGAGGGGGGAGTCCCACAGCTGCAGAGGCAGGAGCCCAAGTACGGAAGGTCAAGCTAAGGCCCTGGCACTGATCCTAAGAGCAGTAGAAAGCCATCGAGGATTTAAGCAAGATGGTGACAGGTTTGGTTTTAAAAGGTCATTCTGGGTGTGGCGTGAAGAATGAAATAAAAAGGTATAAGCATGGCTTCCCAGACATCTGCTAGCGGCAATAACCTAGGTGACAGGTAGTATTGGCTCCAATGAAGGGGTGGCAATGGGGACACAGGGGAAGTTTGGGACTTAGAATCCACAGGATTTGCTCAGAGGGGTGTCCAGGAGATGGAGCTGTCAAAGGTGACTCCCGTGGTTCTGACTGGGTCAATTAGGTGGGTGACATTGCCATCCACCAAAGCAGGAAACACGCCCAAAGGAGCAGCTTTAGGAGATGGAAGCCGTGTTGAGTTTGGAATGACTGTGGAATGCCGGGAGGAGATATTCTCTGGGCTCAGAGAAAGAGAGCCAGGCCAGGGGTACATGCATATGGTGGGGATTGAAGCCAGGAGAGGGAATGAGAGCATCCAGGGACAGGAAGAAGAGAGGCAGCCCTAGGACAAAGCTCTGAGGGTGAGCAGAGGAAGAGGATGCAGCAAGGAGACAAGAAGGTGGGGTTAGAGAGGTTGGAGGAAACTAAAGAGTTAGAAATTTCCGAAGTGAGGTTGGACATCAATTAAATGCACTTTATTAAATGTCCAATATTCTATTTTAAATGATTTTCTTCTCTGTGCTGTGTTGAAACCCTCCTCCGATGCTCCTGTTACAAACTGTTCAGGAGCATGAGGGAGACTCCATCATGTTCCACATTTAAGGCAGTGTGGGTCAGGGGACGACAAGTAGCCTCAGGAAGCCACCACCTTCCGGAAGCACAAGCCCAGGTGGGATGAGGGGCCCAGGCAGGCGCAGGAGTTTAGGGCCTAGAGCACACGTGGAGCCAGGAGTCACTGGATAAGCAGGACTGGCTCAGTTAGGAAGTGGAGATAAGACAGAAATTCCTTTCCCCAAATCCACCAGCAGGGAGAAGTGACTTTAAGAGCGGAGGGCCAGGTCCTGCTGTTGGGTGGAGGGAGCTTTCCAGATAAGCACACTTCCAAGTAGAAAGAAAGCCCTGATTCCTGGGGACCACCAGAGCATCCTCCCAACCACAGTGCCTGCCTCCCTCCCCATCCCGGAGGTGATTAAGAATTCTCTTTTTGTCGGGGAGGGTATAGTTCAGGGGTAGAGTGCATGCTTAGCATGCACGGGATCCTGGGTTCAATTCCCAGTACCTTTATTAAAATAATAAATAAATTAATTAAATAAATAGACCTATTTACCCCCCACAAAAAAAGGAATTATCTTTTTGAGGCTCATTCTTCATTATCTCCATTCTGTTCTGAAAGGTAAATAGTCTACTTATACTTTTGATTTCTACCTGTTTCTGGAAGATTCCTTCAAAATGGAGAGTTATCTAAGGGTGCCCAGTGTCATTCGTTTGATTGAGGAGTGAAAGTGGAAGAGAGTCTCTCTCTCCTGGCTCCTCCAGGCTGTTGCTCCGGTAAGGAAGGCGTGAACGCCCAGCGTCTTAGTTCTCCTCTGGTGTGGTTTGGCTCCCTCTGGTGGCTGTGATGAGAACAACATGCCTAACTTCTTGGATTGATGGAATGGTGAGCAGTTCTGTGTTTGGGACTCACTTCTCCACGGTGCTTCCTGACCTGCCTTCCTACCCAGCAGCGCTGGGCTGGGGAAGCTGCATCTCTGATAGGCCACTAGAGAGGTCTTTGAGTCAAGAAGATAACTTTTATGGTCGGGTCAGTTTTTATAGATTCTCTTTGACATGATACTCTTTTTAAAAAAACGATTTTATTGTGGTATAGTTTCTGTACAGTAAACTACACATATTTCAGATGTACAATTTGATGAATTTTGGTAGCTGTTTACACTTATGAAACCATTATCACAATCAAGATAGCTAACATTTCCATCACTCCTCAAGAGGTGCAAATTTCTAACTCCCAATTTATCCCTTCCCACCCTCTTCACCCCCTGGTAGCCATAAATCTGTTCTCTATGTCTGTAAGTCTGTTTCTGTAAATAAGTTCATTTGTGTCTTTTTTAAAGATTCCACATATAAATGATAACATATGGTGTTCTTCTTTCTATTTCTGGCTTCACTTAGAATGACGATCTCCAGGTCCATCCATGTTGCTGCAAATGACATTATTTTGTTCTTTTTATGGCTGAGTAGTATTCCATTGTATAAATATACCACATCTTCTTTATCCAGTCACCTGTTGATGAAAATTTAGGTTGTTTCCATGTCCTGGCTATTGTAAATAGTGCTGCTGTGAACATTGGGGTGCATGTATCTTTTTGAATTATAGTTTTCTCTGGATAAATGCCCAGGAGTGGGATTTCTGGATCATGTGGTAAGTTTATTTTTAGCTTTTTAAGGAACTTCCATACTGTCCTCCACAGTGGCTGCACCAAATTACATTCCCACCAACAGTGTAGGAGGGTTCCTTTTCCCCCACACTCTTCTAGCATTTATCATTTGTGGACTTTTTAATGATGGCCATTCTGACTGATATGAGATGATAGCTCATTGTAGTTTTGATTTGCATTTCTCTAACAATTAGTGATGTTGAGCATCTTTTCATGTGCTTGTTGGCCATTTGGACGTCTTCTTTGGAGAGATGTCTATATAGGTCTTCTGCCCATCTTTTGATTGGGTTACTTGGTTTTTTTGATATAAAGCTGTATGAGCTGTTTGTATATTTTGGAAATTAGTTCCTTGTCAGTCACATCATTTGCAAATATTTTCTCCCATTCTGTAGGTTGTTTTTTTGTTTTGTTGATGGTATCCTTAGCTGTGCAAAAGCTTTTGAGTTTAATTAGGTCCAATTTGTTTATTTTTGCTTTTACTTCCATTACTCTAAGAGCTGGTTCAAAAATATTGCTGTGATTTATATCAATGAATGTTCTGCCTATATTTTCCTCTAGGAGTTCTATAGTATCTGGTCTTATGTTTACGTCTTTAACCTATTTTGAGTTTATTTTTGTATATGGTATTAGAGAATGTTCTAATTTCAGTCTTTTACAGGTAGCTGTCCAGTTTTCTCAGCACTGTATATTCTTGCCTCCTTTGTTGAAGATTAATTGACCATAAGTTCGTGGGTTTATTTCTGGACTTTCTGTCCTGTTCCATTGATCTATGCGTCTGTTTTTGTGCCATATTGTTTTCATTACTGTAGATTTGTAATATAGCCTGAAGTCAGGGAGCATGATTCCTCCTTTCAAGACTGTTTTTGCTATTTGGGGTCTTTTGTGTTTCCATACAAAGTTTAACATTTTTTGTTCCAGCTTTATGAAAAATGTCATTGGTACTTTGATAGGGATTGCATTGAACCTGTATATTGCCTTGGGTATTAAGGCTACTTTAACAATATTGATTCTTCCCACCAAAAACATGGTATATCTTTCCATCTGTTTATCAACATGATACTCTTGTTTTTGGCTGGAGCCCTGGGTCACATCAAGGTGAAGATGTGGCTGCAGTCGCATTTTTGGACAGTGTCAAAGGTGAGAGGAAGATGTGGTAGAAAACTGGATCCCAGCGTGGCTCCATCTTGACCACTTCCCGGTGGTGGACATCGTAGGGTGGGGAGAACCATCTTGTGTTTAAGGAGCAGGCTTTCTTACTGGGGCAAAGGGTAAATGCATTACATTACAGGATCTTGTCAGAAGGTTGCAGTAAATGGGACAATACCAGCTTTTCATGACTAATGTATGAAGCTTTGCCCTTGATACCTTCAGAACTTCTAAGTATTTTGGATAAATGGGATGAAGTGTTTCATTAAAAAGTAAAAAAAACAGCCCTACAGAAAAATTAAGAGAATAGAAGATACAATTTGCTATGGCCACAGAAAATATGAAATATCTAAGAATAGATTTAACAAGAAATGTGCAGAATCTTTATTTTTATTTGAAAACATATTGAGAATTACAGAAAATAAAATTGCAGCATGTAGGGCTACATACTATATTCCAGGATGGGCAACTAAGTGTTGTAAAGCTATCAGTTCTTCTCCAGTTGATTGCTAGACACAGAAAATTCTAACTGGAATCCCAAAGGGATGAAAACATTTCTAAATTTTCAAAATGATTCCAGGGTTCTTGGAGAAAAAACTATGTGACAATAAGAGTTTCATATAACGAGGGCAATTTGAATGTCAAGTTCATATTATGAACATATTATGAAGCAATAATAATAATTTTAAAAGTACTGCTGGGAACAAAAATAGCTCAGGGGAACAAAATAGAAAGCTCAGACAGACCCAGGTACAGGTATAAGAAATTAGTAAATGATAGAAGCTTTTCAAATTAGATGGACTATGGAATAAATAGTGGTAATGATGTACTATTTGGTAAAGTTATTGAAGTTACCTGAAACATTACACCAAAATAAATTCCAGAGGGATTAGAGTTAAATATAAGAAAGTGAAATTTTATATTAAGAAAACTGTAGGAACATGTATGAGTACACTTTGCCTTTGAGCCTTGGTGCCAGCTGTTCCCTCTGCCAGGAATGTTCTTCCCGCTCATTGCAGTACCGGCTCTTTCCTGGTTGTTTAGGTCTCGGCCCACGTGCCTCTCTCTCAGGGTGGCCTCCCCGATCCAACATTGTATGTAGTCATTCTCTGTCCTGTCAGT